GGGAAAAGAGGAGTGGGCGAGAGGAAATTGAGTGAATGGGGAAAGGGTGAGAGGCTAATTGTTTTTGTCAACTTTAAACCTCGTGTAGTCAGGGTGCAGGGTGAAAGGTGAAGTGAAGTTGCGAAGTGATGAAGGGGTGAAGGGGCGCTGGACTTGTTACTCCTATTTTAGCTGCTCGTATACTTCTAGCTCCTTTCCTTACTGATCCTAACGTTGCTGCTCTTATTTCTACCGATCCTCTGCAATCCTTTCTTTGCCGCTCCTTTCTTTGCCGCTCCTTTTTTTGCTGCTCCTATTTTTCCGCTCCTATATTTCTGCTCCTTTGTTTACTTCTCCTATGCTTGTTTGCTGCTCCGTTCTTTTCTGTGCGTATTTCTGCTCTTCCGTTTTTTTGTGCTCCTATGTTTGCCGCTGCTATGTTCCTTCTCTAATATCTGCTGCGCCTTATCACATCATGCAATAAACCTGCATATGGGGAGACATGGTCCTGTCCTACCACATCACAGGTTATGAGGATTCGAAAATGGCTCAACTCAAAAGCCAGGATATGTTTATTGACCTTTGGTAAATATTTTTACCTTTCCACTCCCCTCCCCCCGCCCCATTAGGATGCCACTCGGATTGCGTTTGAGCGCATAGCTTCAACTGCAGTGATTGACGGCGCGGCAGAGTGTCTGATTCGCTGGCCTCACACCCCGCACCTCGACCTCGATCTTGCCATGCTGCCCTCGCCAGCAATATCACCACCTGCCAGAAGTTCCATCACCAGTTGTACCACCATCAGATGTACCACCTCCAACCGCACCACCACCAACCGCACCACCATCACCTCATCGCTTCATTCTCATGGGCATTTGGCATGTCAAGAGATGGGTGATTGAAGGTGACCGCATGACGTGGAAGCTGAATGATTTGCATTCGATGGTGAGGCATCAGCCTGGAATCTCTCGGGCGATAAATATTGATGTTCGCTCGCACGATTGGTGGGAGAAGATGAAGGTATGATCTTGATCTTCCATTTCAAGATGGCCTATTGCTTTCAAGCCTGGTGCCTGCACATGCTGCTGCTTGAAACGTTTCTGAAGTGCCGAATTGCTCATATAATAGGTGTTTAAACTAGGTGAGGAATCCGACAGTTTGGTTCTCACTTGTTCTGGCTATTGCAAGGAGGGGTGTGTCACAAAGAAACAAACTCCCATCCTCACTTCCTGTTTTCACTTCTCCGGTGATTGTCCGTTGTTCATCTCTGATTCACCTCTGGTTCTCCTTTGGTCCTGCTCTCGTCCATCTATGCTTTCAATGTTGGACCTGTTTCACTTCTGGTTCACCCATGTTTCAACCGTGGTTCATCAGTTGATCACATGTGATTCATCATTGCCAATCATTCTCGTAGAACACCAGTTACAGCATAATCGTTGTGGCATTTCTCAGCAATGAACCATTATCTACAAGTGCTCATTGCGTAGTTTCAACAACCCGATCCTGATCTCAATCTTTGTATTTTTTGTATGCTTCCCTCAATCGATCTCCTCTCCCCACCCTCCCACGTCCCTGCCTCCACTGCCCTGCATCCTATCCTGTTGAAACCACTTTTAATTGACCTGTTGCATATGCAGTGTTACACCAAGCCTGATCTTCACCCTGCTACCTCACTCCAGCCCAGCGAGTCAACCCCATCCTCCTACAGTGCTGCATCTTGCTTTGACTCAAGCTTGCACCAAACCTCGCTGCACTGGACTCCTGAAACTATTTTATCTGATTATGCTGCCCATATAGACTGGCTTCAGCAGAACGTGCCTTAGGGCATGTTCCTATGGCCTCTTATCAGGCCAACCTCTTATCAGGCTCGCGTCACAAAACACTGAAATTTCCCTGAACCCGAAAATCATTCTCGAATTCAATCACGCAAGCCTGACAGGAATTTTGCCTTGCCTGATACGGTAAGAGCTTAGGAATATGTCTTGAGATCCAGGCAGTCTACTGACATCAATCAAGGACTTCACAGAAATACGAACTGTGTCAGAACAAAAAAGCTGTATTAATACGGTAGTTGAGAATGCCATGTTTTGTTGACCAAACTCAGCTGAGAAAAGTTCATTTCCCAAACTCGGCCACCATCCAACAGAGAACATTCTCAGGCGTAATTAGCGCCAGGGTAGGTCAAACCAAACCATACCATAGTGATTGGGCTTCTTTCATATGAAAATAAAGAGTTGGGCACGTGTTCGTTATCCAATTACACAATAAGGTGTCCAAAGTCTAAGATAAATGCAACCCTTAGGACGTGTGTGAAACTAATTTTGGCACCAAGTTTAGGTTTTTGATTCGAATGTAGCAATTGAACGCTAAGCGAACCTACTCGATTTTGAGTCATTGCAAAGTTCGAACCGCAGCTGTCGAAAGTTGTAAACACACAATCACACGCAGGTGCGAATCTACAAGTTCGAGCCTGTAGGGGGAGAACCGAACCGCGATTAGGGTGCGTAGGTTACCCAGTATCGGCATCTTGACAGCGCGACACGTCAACGAATCGCGTGCCCCAAAAGTTCACTCTAGAGTTCCACCTCATCTCCCTACCTGTCCCCGAGCAGACCACCAGCTACAAAGGTGTGAGTGTTTTGCATTTCGCCAACTCAGCATTCCGCCATGTCTCTCATTGCGCTGATGCGCTTCCTTGGAATTCTCGTTCCACCACGTCATCGTGCCACGCCAACATCCACGTGGCGAGCTTTGCTTGTGGGGACCGTTTATGGTTTCGGTCGTGCCTCTATTGGTGCACGAATGTGTTGCGAGTGTCGCACACTCCTCGTACGTGCCTGGAACTACACACGTTCACTACAACGTGCAAAATCACGTTTGCTCACACACTCGAGTCTTGTTCACTTTTCGGGGCTCGAGTTAGTGGGAGGGGTAGTGAAACACCCATTTGACGAAAACGTTTGCGAACATTTACGAAACTGGTTACCACCCTAAGTTCGAACCCATTTTCGAACTGCAATTAGTTTCACACACGTCCTTACAACCAGAACAAACATCCTTCACCTCAATGGTCAGCCGAGTCGTGCTCCTGCGTTCTTTGCTAAAGCAATGGCCTAGGTAGGTAGGGCACTAGGAAGCAGTTCCCGCACACTGGAGGGGCGCTAAGGTCGTTCCCCTACACACTTTAGGGTTTTTGTTACTACGGCAATAACCGCGCATGTCTCGCAAACACCTTGTCCGCACCAGCATTGCACAACCTCGCAGTTTCCTCAGCACAATCTCATTCCCGTCATGGCTTTCGCGATCCTCCCGCGGCGAATATCGACGACTACGATGGTGCTGTTCGTCGTCGTCGTGAGTAACATCTTCATCTGCTTCGTGCTGCTCGACGAAGCGCCTTCCGTGCCGCTGCTCTCGCGCGCCGGGAAAGGCGGCAGCGGCAGCTTAGGCGGCGGGGGTCGCGGGAGGGATCGGGGGGGAAGCGGAGGCGAGGGGAGACGGCATCCGCGCGGAGCGGCGCACAATCTCACTCCGGCGGAGCTTGAAATGCTGGAGATGCGGAAACAAAAGTGAGTGGTGGGCCTTTTGGGTCAATATGCACGGAGGGACGCACGCTCGCTCTTGCTTCCTCCATGCCAGCTTCAACTGCAGCAGCAGCAGCAACAAGAAGGGATTCATTCAGCCTAGCTCTGACCGCATCACCCTTCGTGCAGTAGCTGCTAATACAGACAGCAATGTAGCTCTCCCGAGGTGACTTTTGACTCGACTCAGAAGTCTCCTAATGCAGCAATGCAGCTCTCACGTCTCTGCCTTATTATTGTGCTGATTTTACAAAAGAGATTTCCCTCAAAAGTAAAATCAGCCTCGACGGCAGCAGCAGCAAGGAGGGCTTCATTCATTTTAACACCTACCGCATCACACCCCACCCCTCCTGGTCTCTGCGCTATACCTGTGCTTGCTTGCTCCCATGTCTCTGCGCTTCACCTGTGCACGCTTTCATTTCCCCCTTCCAGTTTCGACGGCAGCAGCAGCAAGGAGGGATTCATTCAGTTCAGCGCCTACCGCATCACGCCCTCCCGCGTGGTCGCCATGGGAATGAGTGCAGCGCATACAGTCGCCACGCGGTTGTGCCTGTGTTTATTTGCGTTGCTCCTTCCTTCCCAGTTTCGACGGCAGCAGCAGCAAGGAGGGCTTCATCCAGTTCAGCGCCTACCGCATCACTCCTCTCCGCGTGGTCGCCATGGGGCTCATGCCCCTCACACACCATGACGTCATCACTGCCCAGCACTGTTGGTGAGGCGGGCAGGGCGGGCATACAAGGCGTGCATGCGTGATGGGTCTTCATATCATGGGGCTCATGCCTCTCACTCACCATGACGTCATCACCGCCCAGCACTGCTGGTGAGGCGGGGCGGGCACGCAGACACACGTACTTCACGCAGATACACGCATGCCTCTTCCTCTCAAGCAGCCTTTTCCTTTTGTATTGTAACCGTGGGCTTCAAAATGATTAAAGTTGCTTCTTTCGTGAGTGATGTGATCGTCCTGCTTCTCGTCCAAACCAAACCAAACGACTTTTGAGGCGCCTCATGTGTGAGTGACATCGTCCAAACGCATTTCTCCTCCTTTTTGTAACTCGAAGCCTGATCTACCACCCCATCTCTCCTTCTTTCAAGTCGACTGCCTGATCTCTCACCCCTCCTTTCCCTTTGAACCTCCTCCCTCTCCTCCTCTTCCTCCTCCCCTCCTGCTCCCCCTCCTCTTCCTCTCCTACTCTCCTAATCCCCCTCCCGTACCCCTCTCCTCACAGGTGGGAGTCAACCAATGGGCAGTGGACAGATGGCACCATCTCAGTGAAGTTTCCAGGGGAGCACCATGCACGCGCGTACGAGTGTGTGCTGCTGTACTGCGACCTGCAGCGACCTGTTAGCTCCATGTGAGTGTAGCACAGCACAGCACCATACAGCACAGAGCACCATGCACGCGCATATGAGTGTGACTTGAGTCGACTCAAAAGCACCATGCACGCGGTGACTTTTGAGTCGACTCAAAAGCACCATGCACGCGCGTATGCGTGTGTGCTGCTCTACTGCGACCAGTTAGCTCCATGTGAGTTGGAGGGTGAACTCTGTCTGACTGTGTGTGAGATACCATGCACTGGGGAGGGGAGGGGAGCACCATGCACGCGCGTACGAGTGTGTGCTGCTATACTGCCACCTGCAGCGACCAGTCAGCTCCATGTGAGTTGGACCGAGTGGCACCATGCACAGCGCAGCACCATGCACAGCGCAGCACCATGCGAGTTGGATTGCATGTGCGATACCAGTATCCTCACGGTCTTACGTTCCCAACCCATGTGTGTGTGTGTGTATGTGCTCCCTCGTGTTCTCCCTCACTCTGCCCCTCACCAGGGTGGGCGGCACGCTCAAGATGGCGGTGGATCAACAGGACCTGGTGGTGTACAAGGAGAGCCCCCTACCAGATCTGCAGCACGGGGGTTGCATGCACGATACCAGAAGCATCTCTGTGTTCTGTCTGAACCCCTGTGTGTGTGTATACCCCCGCCTTTTCCCATCTCCTCGTCCCAGGGTGGGCGGCACACTCAAGATGGCGGTGGATCAGCAGGACCTGGTCGTCTACAAGGAGAGCCCCGGCACGCCCGAGCCTCCGCCGGAGGTTCGGGAGGACGTGCGGGTGTTTGAGCGCAACCTGACGTATTGCTCCGCGCCCATGTTCGGGGCCATTGACACACAGAGGCTGCTGGAGTGGATTGAATTCCACCGCTCAATTCACGGTGTTGATGTGAGTGCATGCATATGTGTTCATGGCACGCCCGCACCTACTACTCATAGAGCGCATGGCGTGGACATGAGTGCGTGCGTGGCGAGTGCGTGCGTGCGGGTGTTTGAGTTGAGCACAACCTGACGTACTGCTCTGCGCCCATGTTCGGGGCCATTGACACACAGCGGCTGCTGGAGTGGATTGAGTTCCACTGATCCATTCACGGTGTTGATGTGAGTGAGCATGCACGTGACTGCATGTTCGGTGCGATCGACACACAGAGACTGCTGGAGTGGATTGAGTTCCACCGATCCGTTCATGGTGTGGATTTGAGTAGGCATGGGAGTGCATGGTGTCGATGCGATGGGAGTGTGCAAGAGCGTAAGAATGTGTATCGCTGCATGCACGTGAGTGCATGGGGTGGATGTGATGGGAGTGTGCAAGGGTGTTTGAGTTGAGTGCAACCTGACGTACTGCTCCGCGCCCATGTTCGGGGCGATCGACACAGAGCGGCTGCTGGAGTGCATGGCGTGGATGTGAGTGCATGGCGTGGATGTGAGTGCATGGCGTGGATGTGAGTGCATGGCGTGGATGTGAGTGCATGGCGTGGATGTGAGTGCATGGCGTGGATGTGAGTGCATCCTTCCCTGCCTCTCTGCCTGCCTGCCTGCGTCGTTCCCCCATGCCCCCATGCCCCCATGCCCCCATGCCCCCATGCCCCCATGCCCCCATGCCCCCATGCCCCCCAGTACCTGCGCATGTATGATGCATTAGGGCAATGTGTGTGTGGTGGTGTGGTGGGCATAAGCTGTACAGAATAAGTCACCACCATCTGCCCCATGGCTCCATCCATCCATACCATACCATGCTGCCATGCCCCCATGCCCCCCAGTACCTGCGCATGTACGATGCAGGGGGCCCACCCTGGATGGCGGTGGGCATGGCAGTATCACCCGTGCTATCAACGTTACCATCTGCTCACCCTATGTCCGTTCCGCCATGCTCCCATGCCCCCATGCCCCCATGTCCACCAGTCCCTGCGCATGTACAAAGCAGGGGCCATGGACGATGGTGCGGATGACACTTTAGTCAAGTGTACCACTACGTTACCATCTGCTCACCCCCTCTCCATGCTCTCACGCCCCCACACCCCCACACCCCCACACCCCCAAGCCCCCACGCCCTCACGCCCCCACACTCCCACGCCCTCACGCCCCCACACCCCCACGCCCTCACGCCCCCACACCCCCACGCCCTCACGCCCCCACACCCCCACGCCCTCACGCCCCCATGTCCCCAGTACCTGCGCATGTACGATGCAGGGGCCATGGATGATGATGTCATGGCAGCACTAAGACCCTACCTGAGGGCGGGTATCATGGACATCACTGACATCAAGGGACCCGCGCTCTATGACACATGGAGCTATGCGCAGGTGAGTGCCAGGGTGGGGTGTCTGTGTGCGGGTGTGGGTGGATGCCCCTGCCTCAGAGAAGGCATCATGGATATCAATCCGATTCACCAATGCACGCAGGTGCTTGTCTCTACCACCCGCGAATCAATCACACAGCACAGGAACCCCCCTTGCCTGTGCCCCTTCTCTCAGTTTATCGCACCTATGCTCTCAGCAACCTCACATGTGTGCCTCCTGCCCTGCCTCTGTTCTCCTCCATGTGATGTTCCCCTGGCAGGTGCTGATGGTGAATGACTGTGCTCTGAGGTCGCGACAGCTCACCAGGTAACTTCCACCAACCCCTTTCTCCCTCATCCCCTCTCGCATTCCCTCTCTCAACCTCGCTCCCTCACATCCCTCCTCTCATCCTCTCTATCCAGCGTCCCATCCATCCCTGTACCACACAAACTGCACAGTAACATTCCTGTAACATCCGCCCCATGGGATGCGTACTGTTCATGTGCGCCCATGAAGAAAGAGTACACATGGCACTCACATTTTGTGGAGCCACACTCACACAAGTCCCTCCCACAAGAGTCACATTTTGTGGAGCCACACTCACACAAGTCCCTCCCATGTGAGTAAGTTCACGTGGTGGAGCCGCCCCACTTCACATGAGCCTGATTCGAGTTGATTCATACCACACTATGTGCCTCTCATGTTCCATGTGTTCCCCCCCCATCAGGTGGGTGCTATTCATGGACGTCGACGAGTACATTCACGTGGTGGAGCCGCCTCACTCAAGTCTCTCCTATAAGTGTCCCTTCTACATGTTACTTCTTTGTGTGTCCCATGCCTTAATCCATCCCCCCCCATTACCAGGTGGGTGCTATTCATGGACGTGGACGAGTAAATTCACGTGGTGGAGCCTTGCCATCCATCTCTCTATCCATGTGTGTGCTATGTGTGTCATCCATGCCATGTTCCCGCTCTCACCCCATCAGGTGGGTGTTATTCATGGACGTGGACAGTACATTCACGTGGCGGAGGTGCCGTGCCAAGTCCCATATTCATGTGTGTGTGTGTTACGCGTCTCATTCATGCCCCATTGTTCCTCCTCTCTCACAGAGTCACAGGTGGGTGCTATTCATGGATGTGGATGAGTACATACACGTGGTGGAGCCGCCTCACTCGAATCTCTTCCTTCCATGTACCACCCATGTGTCGTCCATATGTGCGAATGTTGTGTGTTGCCATCACAGGTGGGTGCTATTCATGGACGTGGATGAGTACATTCACGTGGTGGAGCCACCTCACTCGCTGCTCGTCTTTCTCAACTCAGTGCCCGCCATCCCCTGGCTCTCCTTTGGCTCCCTCACCTTCCCTCTTGACATCTGCGGCAAGATACAGGTGGGTGAACTTGCCAGGTGCAGCAAGGTACAGGTGCATGCCCCTTCCCTCCCATTCCTCCTATTGCTCGCTCGCCCCACTCGCTGCTCGTCTTCCTCAACTCAGTGCCCGCCATCCCCTGGTTCCCCTTCGGATCCCTCACCTTCCCCCTTGACATCTGCGGCAAGATACAGGTGCGGCAAGATACAGGTGCGGCAAGATACAGGTGCGGCAAGATACAGGTGCGGCAAGATACAGGTGCGGCAAGATACAGGTGCGGCAAGATACAGGTGCGGCAAGATACAGGTGCGGCAAGATACAGGTGCGGCAAGATACAGGTGCGGCAAGATACAGGTGCGGCAAGATACAGGTGCGGCAAGATACAGGTGCGGCAAGATACAGGTGCGGCAAGATACAGGTGCGTGTGCTGGTTAGGGTCCCCCTCACCCGTGTGACTCTGTCACCCTTCTGCTCCCATTCTTCTCTTATGCCTTTCACCCCCTCACTCCTCTCACTCCTCAAAAGCACCCAAAAGCACTCTCGACCCGGTCCCATACGCCTGTGTTGTTGGGAATACAAGTCCTTCTGTGTTGTGTTCCCGTCGCCCCCTTCCACAGCAGGCGGGGTGGGAGCCATGGGCCATGCCACATGGAGCAGACGGAGTTTTGCTTCAAAGCACTTCACACCGCACTCAACCCCTTCCAATGCCTCTATCACCTCCCCTTCCACAGGAGGCCGAGTGGGAGCCGTGGGCCATGGTGCAGCTGGTGTTTCGCGGGGCGAAATCTGTTTGAGGAGTGAGATTTGAGGAATAAAGAGCACTCTCGACCCGTCACGGTGCTTGTCATTTGCTTCCTCCCCAACAGGAGGCCGGGTGGGAGCTGTGGGCGGTGGAGCAGCTGGTGTTTCGGGCTCCATGTTTCATGACGCTTCACACCGCACTCAACCCTTTGCTACACCCCTGTCAAACCCACTCAACCTTTTCCCATACAGGAGGCTGGGTGGGAGCCGTGGGCAGTGGAGCAGCTGGTGTTTCGAGAGCCGGTGCCACACTGCAAGGAGCCCACCAAGTACTACAGGTGTGTTTGTGTTGGTGCTCAGGTGATTCTTCAGGTGATTTCAGCACAAGTGAGAGTGCCGCACTGCAAGGAGCCCACCAAGTACTACAGGTGTGTCTGTGTTAGTGCTCAGGTGATTCTTCAGGTGAATTCAGCACAAGTGATTGTGCCACACTGCAAGGAGCCCACCAAGTACTACAGGTGTGTTTGTGTTGGTGCTCAGGTGATTCTTCAGGTGATTTCAGCACAAGTGAGAGTGCCGCACTGCAAGGAGCCCACCAAGTACTACAGGTGCGTCTGTGTTAGTGCTCAGGTGATTCTTCAGGTGAATTCAGCACAAGTGATTGTGCCACACTGCAAGGAGCCTACCAAGTACTACAGGTGTGTTTGTGTTAGTGCTCAGGTGATTCTTCAGGTGAATTCAGCACAAGTGATTGTGCCACACTGCAAGGAGCCCACCAAGTACTACAGGTGTGTTTGTGTTGGTGCTCAGGTGATTCTTCAGGTGATTTCAGCACAAGTGAGAGTGCCGCACTGCAAGGAGCCCACCAAGTACTACAGGTGCGTCTGTGTTAGTGCTCAGGTGATTCTTCAGGTGAATTCAGCACAAGTGATTGTGCCACACTGCAAGGAGCCGGTGCGTTTGTGTTGGTCCTCAGGTGATTCTTCAGGTGAATTCAGCACAAGTGAGAGTGCCGCACTGCAATGAGCCCACCAAGTACTACAGGTGCGTTTGCTTCAGCTACTCAGGTGATTCTTCAGGTGAATGTAACAGGTGTATGAGTGGCGAACTAGTTGTAATGCAAGGAGCTCTCCAATACCATATGCCTCTCTATTCCAAGTGATTCTCCAGGATATTTCCCTCGAGGTGATTGTATCTCAGGTGGTTCTTCAGGAGGACATTCCACTCCAGTCCTTTGCACTCTCCCCCTCCTTTCATCACAGCCATGACGCGTGTCTCAAGTGGGACGGCCACCGCAAGTATGTGGTGAACCTAAGGGCAGCACAGGTGCTGCAGATCCAGCAGTCTACGACCTCAACCCCCCTGAACCCCCCTCAACCCCCCTCTCCTTCCCTTTCACCACTCTCTCACCACTCTCTCCCTGCTTTCTCCCTTCCCATTACCACAGTCGGGACGCGTGTCTCAAGTGGGATGGGCATCGAACGTATGCAGTCAATCCATGGGCAGCACAGCTGCCTCAGATCCAGCACTTGTATGATCTCAACGCCACACCACCCCCCCCTTTTCTCTCCCCTTGTCACAGTTGTGACGCTTGCCTCAAGTGGGATGGCCATCGCAAGTATGTCGTTAACCCGCGGACAGCACAGGTGCTGCAGATTCACCGAGTGTACGAGCTCAACCCCGCCTATGATGCCAATGCTCCCTCTGATGCCAACAAACTCCCCCCCCCCCCCTCCCTCCCTCCCCTCCTCCTCTCCGTCCCCCCTTACCCTCTGTTTATTGCAGCCGTGACGCATGCCTGAAGTGGGACGGTCACCGGAAGTATGTAGTCAATCCGAGGGCAGCTCAGGTGCTGCAGATTCACCGAGTGTACGAGCTCAACCCTGCATACGATGCCAATGCCCCTCCTGACGCTGCTGCTGCTGCCTCTGCTCAAGCTGCCGCTGCCCTTCTGGCCACTTCCGGCAGGGAAGAGGGTGTTAGTAACGATAACGGTAACAGTGGTGGTAACAGTACAGGAAACAGTACGACTATGGGTGCTCTTAGTGGGGCAGCTTCTACAGGGAAGCTTTTTCCTGTTGACGACGTGCAGCGGCTGCTTATAGGGAGTACAGGCGGGGGACTGAATCTACATACAAACATTATAAGGGTGAATCACTACAGGGGGTTGGGAATTCGATATGTGCCCATGTGTCGCCAGATCATTGCTCTCTCCTTGCCGGCACCCAAGGGTGTTGTGAGGGATATTAATCTTGCCAGGATTGCGGTCGCTTCTAGACTGCGCTCGTTAGATGCTGCTGCTATATAGAAAACCTAGTGCGTGCTTTTCTGTGTGTAAGAGTCAAATTCATTAAATTCAATTGCTTTTATTGAGATTCAGAAAGCTCATTTGGTCTTTGAAGGTGTGCAAGAAGAATCTTTCTACTATTTATTTATGTGACCTGGATCTTTTATTTATGTTTGTCTTTCTGTTGCCAAATTGCGAGAGCTTCATCAAATGGGGAGCGTAGTTATGCGTGTACGGCTCAACCTCTTGTCGCGTACTCGATTCGATACATCCTCCCATGGAGCCATAGTTGTGGAAACGGGAGAGTGAGGAGCAAGGGAGTGTGTGTGCCGCTTTGACTCCGTTCTGTCCTGATTTTGCAAGGAGCACGACGCTAGTGCTTCTTTGCAAGGTCGCGACGACGTTTCCCTTCGGGAACTAGTCTTTCGTAGGTCTTAGTCTTCAATCTGACGGCTGGCCCTTGCCGATCACAACGGTCGCTGTTACGGCTTTGAGTGGATTCCACGCGTTCGCTTGTTTTGTCGCAGCTTAGACCGTTGATACCGCAGAACTGTCCTGTTTGACACACATTCGGTCGGCTGTGTGCTACTGACCGTTGGCCATGCCGCCGTCACTTTCTCTCGCGGTATCACCGTCGGTCGATCTAGTTCCCTTGTCACCCTGGCGAAATTCGCGAAACGGGAAACTGTCGCAGACAACCACGATGTCGTCACATCGCGCATGCACGTCGCTCTATAATGTCACTCCCCCATCGTCGGCAGTTCAACCCGGAATCAGACCCTCGGCGATCCTGCGGCTAACCAAGAATCACCAAACGTCTCAAAACAGCATTAGACCTTCGCCATTTCTGCGACTCAGCAAGAGCTCGTCGCTGGTTGTTCGCTCAGCGGCGTGCGACGCGCAGATGTCGTTCGGCGGCGGCGGAGGAGAGTCGCAGTCGTCGTCGGGAACGTCGGGATCGCAACAGGCGACACAGCAGAAGCAATCGGCTCCGAACGGTGAGCTCAAAAAGGGAAAAAAGTATTGGTCTAGTGTGCTATAATTCGAATCCAGGGACAAGGGGGGAGACGTTGTCGTTGGGGTCGTCTGGGTCGCAGCAGGCCAGGCAGCAGAAGCAGTGGGCCCCTAACGGTGAGTTCAGAATGGGAAGAGTATTGATCACATAGTGGTGGTACTCTGGTATTATCTGAATTCACGGACACGAGGAAAGGCGTCGTCGTGATCCGGGTCGTCAGGATCGCAGCAGGGTCAGGAGCAGCAGAAGCAGCAGGGTTAGGATCGCAGCAGAAGCAGTCCATCTCTATTGTGATTCCAGAATCGAACTAGAGAGTCGTAGTCGTCGTCGCCAGGGTCGTTGGGATCGCAGCAGAAGCAGTCCATCTCTATTGTGATTCCAGAATCGAACTAGAGAGTCGTAGTCGTCGTCGCCAGGGTCATTGGGATCGCAGCAGGCCACACAGCAGAAGCAGTCACTCTGCTCTTACGCTGAAAAACGCTCAGCTCTCAACGGTTTGTGGGAATAGGAAAATCTTCTGGCTGGGCCGTGAGGTGCTGTGACTGAATTCGCCTCACGGGACACGAGGAGAGACGTCATTGTTGCCAGGGTCACCAGGGGATTGCAGCAGGAAGCACAGCAGAATCAGTCCGCTCTTACGGTGAAGTGCACAGACAGCGAACCTTGGACGTCGGCTGCCAATAGTGTGAGCTCTGTGACCATCACCTGCCTGTGAGCTCTGTGATTAAATATCTGCCAGTACAGATTGAATATCTCCTGTTGAGTCATCATGATCGCTGCAATCGCAGCAACAGCAGGCCATGCAGCAGAAGCTGTGGGGCTCGATTTCTTGCGAAATCGATGGTGGCGATGTTCTTTTCTCTATTTTCCTGTCTATCCCTTCTCCTCCGCTCATCTCCTCCTTTCGTGCTTCATCCATTCCTCTGTCTTCCTCTCCTGCATTTTCTCGCCCTCCATTTCCTCCATCTTCTTCCTCCCTCATTCCTCCGTGTCTCCCCCCTTCTTTGTTCCCTCTCCCCTTACCCTTCTTCCTATCCTCTCTCCCTTCCTCCCTCCTATCTTCCACTCTTCCCCCCTCACGGCTTCTACGTCCATCCTCTTCTCTCCATCTCCCCACCTCGATCCGAGACAGCCTCATCATTTATCTGCCCCCCTCCTCCCTCTTCCCGTCCCTCCCTTCCCCTCTCTCTCCATGCGGGCCCCGACTCCTCCGCCGCTCAACCTTTCTCTCCATCCTTCCCTGTCTCCAAGTTGACCCTCCCCTCATTCCTCCTTCCCGTCCTCCCCATCCTCCACCCCTCACTTTTTTAATTCCAACCTATTCCCCTCCAACCCTCCTCCACCCTCCCCCCCTTGAGCTCCCCCCATCACCACATGCGCTGCATCACTCCTGTTCCTACCTACCATATCTCGCCACCCTTACAAACGCATGAATCACTCGTTCTCAACCTCTCTACTCCACTCGCCCTTTATCGCTGTTGCTCGTGCCCTGTTGCATCCGCGCCCCTACTGTCTCCTGCTCCTCCAGTGGTGAAGCTCGACATGAGGGGAACAGGTTTCCCTCCTCGATATGACTGCGTTTCTTTGAGAATTCTTAAATAACGCATTCTTCTCTCTCTTCTGCCCTACTTCCTCCCCTCTCTCCTGCCCTTCTTCCGTTCCCTCTCTCCAGTGGCGAAGCTTGACATGGGGGGAACAGGTTTCCCTCCCCGGGATGATGATGGGGGTGGTGGAGGAGGTGGGGGCGGTGGTGGCCGCTTCTGGTGGGGCTTTGGGTTCTGGTCAGTGCTGCTGCTCCTTTCGTTTTTTAAAGACCGAGACGAAAAAAAGAGACGGTCGGGGCGTAGAGCATATTAGGTTCTTGCTGGGAATTGATGAGCAGCTTATGCGTTGTAAGGTAATAGTAAAACTACATGCTTAAAACCCGCAGGCCAATAACTTCAACCTTAGGAAGCTTGGTTGGAGCGAGCAACACAATTGGCTAGGATTTTGGGTGCTAGGGCCAGACTCAACCAAGGTTGGTAGGAAGGTTGAGGCAATTTGGGCCTTCTTGGCCCTCCGGTTTTAAAAGGTGTTGCATGTGAGAAGTGGTGGTACCTGTATATCTTCTCCAAGTTTATACCACTCTTGCAACTCCATCTGATAGTGTACTTTGAGACAGAGATTCGACGCGAAAGTACTCGATAAGAGCCTCAATGGAACTTGCACCAACTTCGAGGAAAGTTTGCTTCCACGTCAGCGCGTGGGCTTGTGGCTGGCACTGGGCAGCGAAGTTCTGCCCATTCTGCCCAGATCACAGCTAGGTGTCGTGGTGACCACCAATCAGGACACACCGCCACCACAATCTCCCAACACTCCACCTTTGTTGCACCACCCGCCAGTTCCTCAGAACGTGGATCTGACCGTTCGTGCCATGTCAGGACTCAGGAACCAGCGATGCGGAGCGGGGTTGCTTGTGCTGGCGGATAGGCGGTGGTCGTTGAGGAAGATCCAACCATATCCTTTGTCGTTGAGTCTGCAACCACTTCGTGGAAAATCGCAACGGTCGTTATACTGGGCTCACTTTCGCTCATATTACTCGTTTAGAATTCGCAAATCTCGCCAGGTCCGTCATGGCCCTTTTCGAATGATGTTTCGCGTCTGCCTCTGTGCTCCCAGCTGCTTCTATCGACATTCTCGAAGCAGTCTAGAGAGTTGGGTCCTATTTGTACCTCTATTCTGCTCTGTCACCTACTGTAGGGCCATGGTGGAGAATGAGTGGTTAAAAATTGCGTAATAAAAGCGTACCTTTTTGGCAAGTGTCCACCTGTCACCCAGCTTGAGCCTTGATATTGTCAAGAATCTGAGTCGTAGCCTTGATATTGTCAGGAATCTGAGTCGTAGCCTTGATATTGCCGGTCGAGACGCGAGAAGTAACTACACGTAGTAGGGACATCAGTTCTCGTTATCTTCTCGGCCTGGAGAACACGTCTCTTCTGGATTCTGCGTGTCTCGATCCCTCGCTCTCTCCCTCTACGCATTTCGAGTAATCCCGCTGCGCGTTGAGAGGGTGTGCTGTATTCGGCTTGACATCGACAACCCCTCCGTTTACCATTGGAACGGGCGATCTCCGTCGCTCAAGGTAATGACCGCAACAGTTTATTGAAGTTCTGGCAGCTCATGTTGTCTGGACGGAATGAGGCGGAATAAGGAATTAGACTAGGACAGAATGAGACGGAAGAAGGACTCGGAATACGGCAGGATGAGACGGAATAAGGAATCAAAACAAGGAGACTGAATGAGGCAGAGTAAAGACCCGATAGGCGCGGCTAGCGTTGTGCGAGACGAGGCACGGTGACAAAACTGGGGAAACGAGGAAGAACGGTGCTGAGTTCTTGACGCTCGCTCCCACTTGAACTGTTTCTTCCCAGTCTCTCGGTGTCGCACTCATCCTTCTCCACCGCGTCGCGCTCATAACTCTGCTGATGTCTCTGCCTCTCCTGGTTCCGCCTTTGCTCTCCATTCTGATGCCACCCCACACCCGCAAGATTACCTATGGAGGCCGTGACCCTTCTCGTCCACTTACCTCCTCTCAACCCCACCACAGGACCGCTCATGGAGTCTACAGGCCTATTGTGTTGGTTCAAACGTCACCCTTTTCCTGTGTGTGTTGATGTGATGCTGATCCCACACCCACAGAATCGCCCATGGAGGCTACGGCTCTCTCATCCACCTACCGCCTCTCAACCCCCACCACCCTCACAAGCCCCACAAGCCGCGCCCTGCAACGATCCTTGTCGAAGCTGAGCCACCCGTCAGCCTCTCCAACGCCTGTGGCTTCGTTTCTGTCACACGGACACCGCTTCGGTACAAGCACGAGCAGAGCGTGCAGCATCAGCAGTAGCAGCTTCAGAAGCGCTAGCAGCCGCAGCAGCCATGTACTGCTTAACACCTACTACCCGCCCAGGCCCGCAGGAACGCCAAGATTTCGAGGTGGGTGCTTTTTTTCGCCATAGACTTTGTTTATGTGCAGCACACGCCTCCCTCTAGAGGAGAACCCATTAACGCACAAACGGGCACAGAACGCTAAGAATTCGCTCCTTGTTTGTACAAAACGCTTCTCCGCTCCTGTTCGTCCTCCCTTCCTCTTTAATCCCATCATACCTCTGTTTTCCTTCTTCCCTCCTCAACCTCCTCACTCCACTCCTCTCGCCAGCCGGATCAGCCTTTGCAGCAGCTCAGGCAGAGAGTGCCACGTCAGCAGAGCCACAAGAGAGTGACCCGTGGAAGGTGAAGGTGCTATATGACGGGGACTGCCCAATCTGCATGAAGCAGGTGAGAGGCTGCAACGTGGATGCGTGTGACAGAGAGAGCTCTTGCTTCCTTAGCCCCATGCATTCATTTTATGTCTCCCTTTATCATCTTGGTGTTTAACATCTGTAAGCTGTAACGTGTGAGTCAAGCTGAGTTGTTTGGAGGTTAAAGAACGGTAGGTACGCGCGTGTTGAGTTGTCAGACGTGTCGAAGCCTTCTGCAAGGCGCGCTCTTGATTTTTGAGTGTCTCTGCAAGCCTTGCACTTGTTATGGGTGGGACGGAACGACAGCCATGCACTTGTTATAGGTGGGAGGGAACGATAGCCATGCACCAAAGGCATGAGGAATTCGACATTCATCGTTCCCGTCCCGTCCACCATTCCTTGTCCTGTGCGTCTCATCCATCTCTTGCAGGTGGAGTCCCTCCCAGCATGCAAATAGCTGTTCCACACCCTTCTTCCCTCGAGGTCCCCTTCTGAGGTGCATGCATATCCATTCTCTCTTCCCCACCACCTACTTACCCACCCACCCACCCACCCACCCACCAACCCAAGCACCCACCCTGCTTCCTCTTGCAGGTGGAGTGCCTCTCAGCGCGCAACAAGGAGTACCTAACGCTCAAGCTCTCCTTCTGAAGTGCACGAATAGCCCTTGTTTCTCACTTCTCACCACCCACCCACCTTCCCGCCCTCCATCCTCTTGCAGGTGGAGTTCCTCTCAGCGCGCAACCAGGAGTACCAAACACTCAAGGTCGCCTTTCCAGGTGCACGAATTGCCATACTCTCACATTTCTCACCACCCATCCACCCACCCACCCACGTTCCTTCTTCCCTCTTGCAGGTGGAGTTCCTGTCAGCACGCAACAAGGAGCACCGAACACTCAAGTTCGTGGATATCTCCTCTGAATGGACTATGACCCCGATGAGAATGGCGGCGTCGAGTACGAGGAGGTGCGTATAACGAGAGTGATTGTAATGAGGATAAAGAAGTGTAGGGTAGCATTCTACGAATTGCAGTTCCACTCGCTCAGGTTCGTGGATATCTCCCCAGAGGACTATGACCCCGATGAGAATGGCGGAGTCGAGTATGAGGAGGTGCGTGTAACGAGAGTGATTGTAACGAGGATAAAAATGTATTAGTATATTAGTTGGAGTACCAAACTCTCAAGTTCGTGGATATCTTCCCAGAGGACTATGACCCCGATGAGAATGGAGGACTCGAGTATGAGGAGATGCGTATAATGAGAGTGATTGTAACGAGGATAAAGAAGGTTAGCATTCTATGAATTGGAGTTTCAATCGCTCAAGTTCTTGAATCTCACCTGAGGACCATGACCCGATGAGAATGGAGGCGTCGAGTACGAGGAGGTGCGTGTAAGGAGACGAGATCTGAAGGATGCTTGTAACAAGGATACAGATAGCAGTAGATTATATGATGGAGTTCCAAACACTCGAATCACACTTGTTGTGCATTTGTTTGTACCGAGGAGGAGTATGATGGTGACGAAAATAGAGGAGTCACATATACGGAGTGTGTAATGAACGAGAATGACTGTAACGAGGACCACATCACCCCTTCCCCTCCTCCGCATTGAATTGATCAAGTTGCCCATTGCATTTCTTCCTTCAATCTAATTCTTTCCTGTGATCAAGCTTCCTCCCTGAAATCCCATTCCATAATAATGCAATCTTTCCGTCTGTTTTTCCCTCCCATGGCATGGCATGGCATGGCATGGCATGGTTGGCTGGCAGGCGATGGGTCACATGCACGGGGTCCTGCGGGACGGCACTGTCGTCAAAAGCATGGACGTGAGTTGGGTGGTTGCAATCAGAATGTTAGCCGAGCCCTTAGGGTTCAACTTTTGGGACGTCTCAAAAGTAGTCCGCGGCAGGCCATGGGTCACATGCACGGGGTCCTGCGGGACGGCACTGTCGTCAAAAGCATGGACGTGAGTTGATTTGTTGCTTTCTGAATGTGAGCCGAATTCTGTCTGAGTTTGCATATGTCTGTGAGTGTCACATGCACGGGGTCCTGCGGGATGGCACAGCTGTCAAAAGCATGGACGTGAGTTAATTGGCAAGTGGGTGTGGTTTGTCATGTGCCTGTTACTGAGCATGTGGATGTGACGTGGCATGTGAATGTGACATGGCATGTGAATGTGAGTTTGCAAATGCCTGTGAGGGTCACATGCACGGGGTCCTGCAGGATGGCACAGCTGTCAAAAGCATGGACGTGAGTGGCTTTCCACCTGGATGTGGGCCGAATCTCCATGGTACATTTTGGCCTGGTATCAGTATCATGAGGGTATGCGAAAATTAAATGTGAAGAAATATAACAAACAAGAAAACAAGCAAATAAACAAGCAAACAAACAAACCACGAGTCTGACGCACGCAGTTCTCGCAAAAAATGAATGCGGATTAATCAATGAAACCAAAGAAAAATCTCTTTCGTGTCAAGCAAAGTAACATCAGCTCTGGTCTGGATGTGGCTTGCCTGGCTTGTGGGCGTGAGTGGGTTTGCATGAGAATGTGAGTTTGCTTGTTGCTGTGAGTTGGTATGGGTCTGTGATATTGCAGGTTGATGAAATGAGTTGACTTGTGGATGCGAGTGTTACATGAGCACTAACACTCTCACTCCTTCCACATGGAGTATGAACATGTAATGGAAGCAGGGTGCAAAAAAGTGACGTTTTTAAGATTATTTATTCACTGTACGAACTGATGGTCAGAGTGAGCAGAAGGAAGAGAGGCGGATGTACATTCTATGAAATTGTAGGCCCATTTGTTAGCCGTTTCTTGCATGTTTCTCTTCGTGGCCATGATTGAAAACATATCCGACCATAATAAAATAAAACGGATCATATTCTATCGAAACTGCATTTTTCAACCTTGAATGCAGGCCCAGTGTCCCGTAAACATATTTACCTCTTCCCCTCAGACAGACCTTCCACAGTCCCTACAATGCAGTGGGGCTGCGATGAGATGGCCTTGCGACGGGCTAGGTACAGAAAGAATCTGAAGCTCTTTTGGGCTCCTCTCGATTGCACTCAATGTGCCTTTCGTTCCCGCTCCCCTTCTCCCTCACACAGGCTTTCCGCAGCTTCTATGATGCAGTGGGGCTGGGCTGGATCATCAACGTCACCAACTTCCCCCCGGTAAGCCATCCTTTCCTTTCAATGCATGGCGCCTCAGAGATAGTTGTTTTCTCTCTCTTCTTCCAAATTAGACTTCTAAAGCGCCTCATAAGTGATCACCCACTTCTCTCCATTCTGCAATACATAGGCAAGGTTGCTTATGAGAGCCATGTGCCTCTCCTGTCACATGACCAGCATGTGGGCACCACGTTGCCACCCCATGGGTCAACATGTGCCCCTTCACTTGATTACTCCCCTCTGATTACTCTTTGCTCCTCGTCCTTCTCTCTGCTCCTCACCATCCTCGCTAAACCTCTACCTAGTCTTGTAACCTGCTCTTTCGATTCTCTCAAACCCAGATAGCAGTGGTGGTGGATGCCATGTATGAGCTCTTTGCTAAGTACCGCCTCCCACTCACTGGTAAGAGTTCCTTGCTGCATAATGCATTTGAAGATGAACGAAGGGAAGCTTGTGTTCATCCATGCCACTCGTAACTCCCCTCCTCCTCCCTGTTCATAACTCCACCCTGCTCCACCTCCGCTTCCGTCCGTCCCACCTCACTCCACCGCTCCCAGTCCCTTCCACATCTCTCAATCACCCTCTCTTTCGCTTTCACTTTTCGAGTCATGCACCAACTAGCGCAACATTCTGATTATCAATAGAGAAGAAATCCCACTTGCACTTTGACCACTGGACTTGTAATCACTAATTTTATTGCACATATGAATGGTGGATGGGTGCATGCATGGTGGATGGGTGCACGCATGGTGGATGGGTGCATGCATGGTGGATGGGTGCACGCATGGTGGATGGGTGCATGCATGGTGGGGTGGTGTCTGTTGCGTAAACCCTCCTGGCAGGTCATCCGGGTATCCAGGCTGCTTTTGAGGAACGCAAACGGACCAAGGTGAGAAGAAAACAGTATTTTATGCAGGAGTATATTTGCTTTTGCGAATCTGGGCCTCACTGAAATTGGGTGTGCCTCCGAAGGAGGAGATGTCTGTTTATGATGTGATTCCTTATAAAAGGTGTGCTTTCACGAGTTCAGGTGTGTGTTCCAATGGAAGAGATGCACCCCTCACTTCGCGTGCTATCAAACGGCAACAATGCGGCTTAGTGAGACCATTTATGTAGTTACAAGTGCATTCAGGCTGCCATATCTGGGTACCATACAAGGGTAAACAGCCATAATAAGGGTAAAAGGCCCCTAGGCTGCTGATACAAGGGGACGGGTCATGTACCACCAGTTACAACACGCCTCTTCAATGTTGATATCTCTCCTTTCCCCTCTCCAACGTTTTATCATGCAGTATGGCATCAAAGGTTGCACAGAAGAAGACCCATGCGAGGTGGAATACTGATGGTGGAAATGAAGTGACGATGTGTTGCGCGGAAGCTACGGTAGTTGGTATGGTGTAGTGTAGAACTATTTTCGAGTTGAACAAAGAAGCTTTGAGGTTGGCCTTGTTTCAGCTGCTTCAGAGCCTTCTGCGTGGCTTCCCAAACACAGCCACTGGTCCGAAAGTCTTGTTTACCGACCTACCACTTCGCATATTTACGTGCGGTTGATTGGTTGTTATTATGATACAATGGTTTTTAATTTCATTAGAGGGTTAGCAACGTGTGGTGTGAGGTAATATCTTGAATTTATGAGATGTGTTCTTATATGTTTTGTCCTACCTGTGTTAAAGCTGCGGTCTACATACTTCAATGAACAGGAAACCCATAGCTACTACAAGAGTTGGGGGGAGGGAAGTGCTTGATGTCTCTTATCAGCTAGTTATGGTGGAGTGGAGAGTACATTTCCCATTAACAAATCAGTTATGGCGTTTCAGCCGACACCGTTTCTCAAAATGGAAACTGGAGTCTGTGTGAAACGGGGTTTGAAAGGCCGCACCACAGGGCTTTCAGAAGAACTAGGCAAGAATGATGCATTGAATGGAAGAATTGGGTACAAGTAGCAAACCCTAGTTGGGGTTGTACCCCATATTGGCTACCCCACTACAGCCTACCAACATAATACAGTTTAACACACCCCCATAGGCAAAGTGGGGGAGAACAAAGGGTCACAAGACCAGTCCAGCAAAGCAAAGCAAAGCCCAGGGTGGATCACAACGTCACCACACTCCGAGCACAAGCAAAGGCCACAAGGCCAGTTCACATGCAGTGCTAGATATAGAACAGGACAAGCAGCAAGATATATATAAAGTACAGTACAAAGAAAGTCAAGCAGTAAGCAAATGAGGAAACGTGGACACAAGGCCTAAAGAAGTGCAGTGCCGCTGATGATCACTAGGCGGGAGCGCCTTGGTGAAGATATCAGCAGTATTGGCCTTCGAGTCCACGTACACAAGCCGAAGCTGACCGCGCTGCTGAAGCTCTCGAGCAAGAAAGTAGCGAAGAGCAATGTGCTTCGTCCTGTGCTCCAGTCTGTGCTCCTGACACAAGGCAAGGGCCGCCTTGTTGTCGCCGTACAGAACTGGAGGAGAACTAGGCCGCTCTCCCAAGTCAGTCAGCAGGTAGGTGAGCCAGCGTAATTCCTGTGCAGCCATGGCTGTGGCGTAGATCTCAGCCTCACAACTAGAGCCGAGAACAGAAGAAGAGCGGGTGGACCGCCACGAGACAGAACCAGAGCCAAGGCTGAAGGTGTAACCCTGTGACGACCGCTGCGTAGCCAGGTCGTCCACCCAAGAAGCGTCCGAGTGACCAGTGAGGACAACTCTGTCGCGTCCTCCAAGCACCAGCCCCATGCCTGATGTACTGCACAAGTAACGCAGCACCCTCTTAGCAGCCTCCCAGTGCTCTCGCCTGTGTCTCCCAGGCGCAACGTAACGAGCAAGGATGCTAAGTGGGTACGCGAGGTCAGGTCGCGTGCAAGTCATCAGGTACATGAGGCAGCCTACAAGCTCTGGGTACGGGCCACTCGGCTCTACGGACTCGTCCGAAGGTGGAGCTGAGAGCGAGTGGCTGGTAGCCAGAGGTGTGGCCTGTGGTGAGGAGAACTGGAAGCCGAAGCGCTGAAGGACCTGCTGCACCATGTGTGACTGAGTCAGGGTGATGGTGCGGCGAGCTCTGTCCCGGGTGATCTGCAAGCCAAGGTAGCTACGCAGTTCACCCAGGTCAGTGCAGGTGTGTCTCTTCTGCAGCTCCGACTTCACACGAGCGAGTGCCTCAGTGTCAGCAGTAGCAAAGACCAAGTCGTCGACGTACACGAGAATGTAGAACGGCGGTAGCGACGTGTCTGTGCGTAGAAACAGCGACGGGTCAGCAGTAGACGGCGCGAACCCAAGAGCTGCAAGTGTAGTCCTCAGTGTGTCGTGCCACTCACGTGGCGCCTGGCGGAGACCGTAGACTGGGCGTCTGGCGGAGACCGTAGACTGGCCGGCGGAGGCTCCACTGGGTACCAGGAGGAAACGACCCAGTGAAGCCAGGTGGGCGGCGCAGCCAGATCTCCTCGTGCAGGCTGCCCTGCAGGAACGCTGTGCTGAAGTCAAGAGAGTGAAGCTCGTAGTCACGCTGAGCAGCAACGTGCAGCAGCATCCGAAGAGTGGTCATCTTCGGGGTGGGGGAGAAGGTCTGGAAGAAGTCAACCCCCTGACGCTGACTGAAGCCTCTAGCAACGTAACGAGCCTTGAAGACAGGTGGAGAACCTGGCGGCCGCTTCACCCTGAAAATCCACATGCCATCGACGATGTTCGCCCCAGGAGGGGGAACCTCGTCGACGTAGGTGCCTGTGGACTTCCAGGATGCCATCTCTGCGTCCATGGCTGTCTGCCACTGAGAGGAGTAGGGACCCGAGATCGCCTCTGCGTAAGAGCGCGGAGTGGGGATGTCTAGTGCATCCGGGTCTCCCTCAGGGGCAAGCAACCAGGCCACGAGATGAGGTACAGCAGCCGCAAGAGAGTCAAAGTCCTCCTGCCTGTCCTCAAGGACGTCCGTGCCAAGAGCATACTCACCCCCGACGGACGGAGGACAGACAGACTCAGACTCAGTAACAAGACTGGCGGCGTAGTCTAGACGACAGGCAGCAGCAAAGTCGACAAGCTCAGCGACCAGGGCAGACGCAGCAGCAGACTCAAACGACGGGTCAGTGACAACAGTGGCGAGAAGACGCGTAACAGTAGGGTGGGCAGCACGAACACTGTCAGACTCAGGGTCGGGAACGTCAGGAAGAGAAGACGCAGGAGGAGACGGTAGGGGGACACGCTGTGGACCAGTGGAAGGACGAAGGGCCATAATGTGCGTGCCAGGAACAGGAGGAGGACGCGGACGCGCGACACGACGACCAGTGGGACCAGTGCGCGCAGTGCGAGCAGTGCGAGCAGCGCGAACAGGCGAGGCAGGACGAGACACAGGCTCACGACGCTCCGTAAGCGAGTCCGGCTGTGCAGTGTAAGGCACAGGAGCAGGGAGGGGGGAGCCAGGCTGGAGGGGAAGGCCAGTGGAAGACGGGAGGGAAAGAACCTGGCGAAGCACCGTGTCAGGCGGTGGCAAAGCCGACGGCGACGGTGGAGCGAAGAACAGGCGCGACGGCGGAGCTCCGCCAGTACCTCCAGCACCCGCAGCACCAGAAGCACCAGTACCAGCGCCCCCCGCCGCAGCACCCCCAGAGCCGGCGACGTCAGCACCAGAGGCCCCAGCAGCGGCAGACCTCCCCTCGCCAGCACCTCCAGAACCAGCAGGACCAACACCTCCAGGACCGTCAGCTCCAGTGTCGTCAGCTCCAGCAGCTCCAGCACCTCCAGGAAGAGCACCCCCAGAGCCGGCAGCTCCAACTCCGCTAGGACCGTCAGCTCCAGAGGCCCCAGCTCCAGCAGCTCCAGCCTCAGTGCTCCCAGCCCCGGCAGCTCCAGTACCCCCAGTACGAGCACCTCCAGGACGAGCAGCTCCAGAACCTCCAACTCCAGCGGGACCACGAGGAAGGCGAAAGCGCTGGACGTACCAGTCACGAAGCTGCTGCTGTGTGAGAGGCTCCCGGAGAGACGGCTCAGCACCCCGAACCGGAGCACCCCCAGACGCAGCAACCCCAGGCTCCGCAGGCTCAGTCGCAGCACCCCCAGGCTCAGGACCCCCAGACTCAGCACCCGAAGGCTCAGCGCACCCAGGCCCGGCAGCTCCAACCCCTCGAGCACCGCCAGCTCCAGCAGCTCCAGCCTCAGTGCTCCCAGAACAACCAGCCCCGGCAGCACCCCCAGGCTCAGTACCCTCAGGCGCAGTACCCCCAGGCTCGGCACCCCCAGACTCCGTACACGCAGGCTCAGCACCCCCAGTCGTAGCACCCCCAGGCTCAGCACCCCCAGGCGCCGAACTCCCAGGCACAGTACCCTCAGCTCCAGCACCCGCAGTCCCAGCACTCCCAGGCCCAGCACCCGCAGGCTCAGCACCCCCAGGCTCAGCACTCCCAGCAGCACCACCTGCAGCAGCACCTGAGTCACCTGTGACCTCGACAGGCTCAGCGACGGGAGGAGGGTCTACCTGAGAGACACCTGAAGGAGCAGGACCCTGAGGGGGAAGGGGGTCTACCGGAGGGGGACCAGGAGCAAGGAAAAGCGGCGGGGGAGGGAGGGGGGCAGTGCGGTAGGGGAAGAGACGGTAAAAAGGGACCGACTCGTCAAAGGTGACGTCCTGAGAGGCGAAGACCCGGCGCGAGGTGGGGTGGTAAAACTGCCAGCCCGGCGCGTCAGGGACAAAGCCAAGGAAGACACAGGGAAGCGTGCGGGAGGAGAGCTTGTCCGCGGACGTATCGCGGACAAGGGCACGAGCACCCCACACCCGGAAGCGCGACGCATCGCCAACCTCCCCCGTCCAACGCAGTGTGGGCGAGGTCTCCGGCAAGGAGACACGGGGCCAGAGGTTGAGCTGATGCGCGGCGTACCGGACAGCAAACGGCCACAGAAAATGGGGAGCCGCCGCGTGGACCAAGGAGGTACGAGCGACCTCCATGACCAGACCAATGCGGCGCTCAGCAACCCCATTCTGCTGTGGGGAGTCCGGAAGCGTGAAGGTCTGCTCGATGCCCTCCGCCTGACAGAAGGTCCTCAAGAGATCGGAGGAAAACTCACCACCTCTATCAGAGTGCAGACGCAGGACAGGAAGATCCGTCCGGAAACGGCGGCGGAGCTGGAGACGAACCGTGCGGATCCAAGGGATCAGAACAGCAGGGACCTCACCCTTGGTGCGCAAGGGGAAGACCGTGGTGTAACGCGAGTAGTCGTCGACAACCAGCAAAAAGTACCGCTCACCGCCCTGGCCACGAACGCGGGCTGGGCCCCACACGTCCAGGTGGAGGGTCTGCAGAGGAGCCTCTGTCGGGGGGAACGAGGAGGAGTGAGGGGCGGCGCGCTGCCGCCCCTCGACGCAAGGAAGGCAAGGCGGCGCAGGCGAGGCAGGGAGGGGAGGGAGAGACCTGGGAAGACCAG